AGAAGAGGAGAAGCACGAGGAAAAGTCTTGGAGTGTTAGCGCGCTCCGGATTCTGATCAGACTCACCGAGCAGCTTTACGAGGAGCTCAACGGCAAATCCAGCGACCGAGAGAGGATCAAGCGAGCGCGGAAGATGATGAGGCTCCAGAAAATGCTGGATAGGATCCCGAGTGAGAGGAAACCGTGGAAGAAGCTTCAGTCCGGCGAGGTGGTCTTCGTGAAGGAGGCAAAAGAACTATATGATCGTGCGGGGAGAGATTTTGTTGCCGAATTCAAGAGGAGACAGGTAAGTTTGATATACCTTCCAGATTCCAGATGGCCGTTTGCTAATAACTTCCGTGTTTGTTGTAGAGAGCTGAAGTGAACGATGAGTGTTTGTTTTGTCAGAACCATGATGGGGAGAAGATGATCGGCCGGGCTGGAGCGAACTCTAAGACGACTAGACCCTGGGTTTACCTGAGAAGAGAACACGAGCAAACTGTTCTAAGCACGTCGAAGAAACGAGAAATGAAGTTGGCTCCGAGCTCGAGAAGTTGGCTGCAAGGATTGGTCAACTGGAGGCCAGTGCTCGGACTCTAGCATCGGAGAAGCCAACTCTCAAGAGTCAAATCCAGAAGTTGGATCTCCAAGCAAGTTGAGCAGCACAGGAGGAGGCCACTAAAGCTATAGACCAGTTAAGTCGAGAGAAGATCGACCTTCTCGAGGACTGACTCCAAAGATTTGCAACTGTCCAAGACGTGAAAGCAGTGCGTGACGACTGTGTCTCAGGGCTCCAGGCGGAGAAGTCTATCACACTTCAGGCGTCTAAACAGGCCAGCAACCAGCCTCCACACTCTTCTAAGTCAAGAGAAGATCAATGGATCAAGTTTGATTACACTCTACAGTGTCTGGAGCAAGGAGGGATCTATCTTATCAGCTTTCCAGTCGACGGAGATGAGACAGGAGATACTGCTGCAGTATAATGTTCACAGCTTGAAGGAATAGTAGCAAGGGAACGACTGCAACGAGATGGTGATAGTGAGAATATGATATAGCTGAAGCTGCTCGTGACAGTGGGGTATTTGGATTCACAGAGAGGGCTGCAGAGACTATAAGACAGACTACGCTCGACGTTCTCTGTCATCTGGTAGAGCTCTCTAGTTGACGGAGACTTTGAAAACGGGTCAGGGCTGTCCAGGAATGCTCGTACAGCTGCTTGGATGAAAGTATCAGCAAAGAACTCAGTGTCAGATTGCTTCAAGGGAAATCAAATCCAAAAGTTGGAGCGGGAAAACTCGGAGCTGTGGCCAAATATCCAAGCAAGTCGAGCACCACAGTAGCAGGTCACTAAAGCGTCAAGTCTGAGCTAGAGACCAGTCTCCACACTCTAAGTCGAAGGAAGATCAACGACTGGAATTGAAAGTTTCGGAAGATGGTGGCCGAGATGGAGAGTCGAAAGCGGCGGTTGACGAGGCTCCAGGCGGAGCAGTCGGCTGGAAGTGCAGCAGAGTCCATCAAACTTCGGCATCTAAACAGGCTAGAGACCCGCCTCCACACTCTTCTAAGTCAAGAGAAGATCAATGGATCAAGTTCGGCTACACTCTACAGTGTCTGGAGCAAGGAGGGATCTATCTTATCGGCTTTCCAGTGGACGGAGATGATTCAGGAGCGCCTGCTGCGGTAAGGCTGTCCATGATAGTAGCGAGGAACGACGTAGACCAGTGTCAGATGGCTGCAAGATGGCGAGAAGACGATATAGCTGAAGCTGCTCGTGACTGGGGTTTCGGATGGCTGCGGAGACTATAAGACAGACTACGCTAGACGTTCTCTGTCATCTGGTGGAATGAGGGAAGTGTTCGGACAGGAGTTCTTGAAGGAGAAGCCCCAGGGGATAATGGCTGACGGAGTCGAATCCGCTGCACGAGGTGGAGCTCTCGGCGAGAGCACGTGATGGCGGAGTTTGGAAGCGCAAAGGCAAGGCTGGAGAAGCAAGTAACTGGCAGCTGATGGAGAGGATCACGGGACTCGAGGCGCTGGAGGAGAGAGAGACGTGCCAGATGCAAAGCAAAGCTTTGGGTGAGGAGCTCTGAAGGATGAAGACAAGCCGAGGAGAACCGATGTGAGAGCGCATGGAGCGCCGAGCTCCAGAGGTTTGACGGATCAGATGGACGCTACATGCGACAAGAAGGAGCATCTGGCTTCGCAGGAAGCTGTGTTTTTGCATGCTTCCGCTCAAGCTTCTCAGCACGATCAAGGCCTGAAGTGGCGGAAGCATTCCCTAACTGGCAGAGGTTCTAAGCACGTTGAAGAAACGAGAATGGAAGTTCAAGAAGTAACCAGCTCTCGAGAGTCAAATCCAGAACAGAGGTGCAAGCCAAGTACTGACAGCTCGAGCAGCACAGGGAAGCAGTAGCAAGCCTCCAAAGCGCCAGAGACCAGTCTCCACACTTCTAAGTCAAGAGAAGATCAACCTCGTCGAGGAGATATCCTCCCTTGACTCCAAAGTTTCGGAGATATCTTGATCAATCGGGAGATAGCAGATAATTTTGTCAAGATCTGGGCTTCTCAAGCGGAGCTCGCCAAGACAGTGCCCGAGATCGGAGCAGTCAGCCAGCCGAGTGGAGAAGAGTCCATCACGTCGGCGGCGAGATGAAGGAGAAGATGAGATGCCAAGACGGATCAAGACAAAGCTCTCTAGTTGACGGAAACGGGACAAGAGCTTCAATGCTGTCCAGGATCGCTCTTACAGGTGCTTGGATGATAGAAGATGATGATGGCAAGATGATCTCAAACTCGAAGAAACTGCTTGTGGCGGTGGAGCCAGAGGTTCGGCTTCACAAAGACTGAAAAACGGCTGATGTTCGCCCCTGACATGCGGAGACTACAAGAGCTGGAGTGAACTCTAAGACGAAGCAACAGTCATAAAGACAGAAGATCGGACGAGTTTCATGGAACGTGGAAGCTGGTGCAAAGCGATTCAGAGGTTCAATGGCCACCTTTACAATCGAGAAATGTGAACTGAGGGTACGTAGAGTCATTCTTTTTTTCCTCTTCCATTCATTTCATCCGTGTTGTTAAACAGAAGAAGCAAGCTGCAGCGACACACAAATTGTAGCTCCTTTAGTATCAGCAACAAATCCTATGGTATTTTTTTTGTTTTTTAATTTTCTCCTCTGGTGGAATATCTTCTGAGCTCCAACTTGGTCCAGATCGTAGGAGGCCGTCTCTTCGAGACTAAATAAATAAAACATCTCAGAGACTACGCTAAGGAGCTGCTTATTCTGGCCAACTTGTGAGTACAACCTTGAGAGATTGTGTTTCTTTTCTATTTGGAAAATAGTCTGGCAGCCAACTTGGTCCAGATCATAGCAGGCCGCCAGAAGAATATGTAAATGAGGGTGGAGCAGGACTTGAAGCAGCGAAAGATAAAACCCAGCGTCAGAGATCATAAGAATCGAGCAAGTGGGAATGGAAAAGCGTAAGATGATTTTAAAACTTGGAGAGAAAGGGAGCAGGCTGAAACAGCTAAGATCGAGCAGCAAAGATTGAGCAGCTTAAAGACGAAAAAATTTCTTAAACCAAGCAGGGCCAGCAGCTTGAAAAATCGAAGTTTTAAGTTCGCCCAGCAACAGCTTCAAAAAGCAAAGGGGAAGCAGCTAAAGAGCAGTGACAAGTTTGATCGAGCAGAGCAGCAGAATAGTTTTTCATATAATTTTCTTTGATTTAGCTGTAAAAATGATGATTTAATGTTCAAATTTAGAAAGGTCCGAGATCCGAATTTGGTCCTAGCAACAAGATGATACCTAGAGCACGCTAGGGCTTGGCAGCACGGCCGCTTGCCAAGGCATCCCTTGAAAAAACTCGTGAACTTTCATGTAGGCCGAGTATTTGCAATCTCTAGACTTGTCCTTGTACGTTTGCAAGGATTCCTGATATTTTGTCCTCATAACTTGATTAGAAAATGGAAAAAAAAATCCAGCTCAGGAAAATAAGATTCTTACGTAGTTTGGATAGCGAAGGTGTTTGACTTTCTAACCCGAGAACACGACACCACCTTAGAGCAAGAACTCAGGAGCTAATATGTACGCACCTCCAGTTATTCTATATGGTATAAAGCCATTTGACTTGGTCTAGAAGGTCTGAAGAGGCTTGCCCTGTCAGGTTTTACCTCCTTCCAGACTGTCAAAGTTGTTACCATTGTATGGGAAAAAAACTAAATTTCTGCATGTCGTGAACAATAAAACTTGTAAGATTGCTGTACCTGAGCATCAAAGAAAGCTTCAAATCGTGAACGAGAGTCTGAAGGCCATTGAGTTTGTAACAATTGGCGAGAGACTTGCCTTCACCTCTGCAATTTCTTGCACTTTGTTTGATAGATAGATCAGCAATGCAACTTTTTACCAGCCTCCACACACAAGCACTCTTTTAGATACTATCATATAGAAAATTTATAGCAGAAACACTTGTCTTCGTTTGGCTATTATAAATAAAATTTCCTACTGATTAAATTGAGAATTTTCCATATTCCTCTTTACATTAAGCCTTTGACATTTTTCTTTATTTAGTTTTTATGTTGCAATTTTATTTTTTATGGGTTCTTAAAATCTATGAAATTAGTTCACAATGTCTTACTACAAGAATGGTAATATTTAAAGCAACTGTTATTTGTAATAAAGATTTATTACTTTCACTATTATATGTTTATTATAAATTAATATATATTTAGTTACAGACACAATATAAAGGTATTCTTAAAACATAATACCAGACTGGTTTACAACTACTAATGTTTTACAATTGCATTAGCTGATGGTAATATATATTTTATCTAAACAACATTGAAGTGATGATATTTTAAAATTCTCAACATAACTTTCACAGTATGTTTTACAATATATTTAATAAAATTTTCCATAATTAAAATAAATTAATTAGAATATATCGAATATTTAACTCTTTTACTTTGAAATTGTGAAATTTATAAAAGCATTAAATTAATATTTTAAAAATACAAGCTTACAAATTTGTATATTTCTTATTATTGTCATATTTAAAAATTATTAATTATTATAAAATTAAAATTTAATTTTTTAAAATGTTTTAAATTTTTAAAAATTTAAAGTTTACAATGATATTTTTATTAGATATATCTATAATTTAAATTTTACAATATTTTTATACTAGCAAGTAATCTGTAAGAAACCAAAGTAAAACAAGTTGAGAATAATTTTTTAGAGTTTTAAAATAAAAGGGAAAGATCTATAAATAAAAGTACACTATTTTTTCAATCAATTAATGGTGTTAAGATACCATGGAGTTATTTTAAGTACTACTGGGATGTATGACCTACTAGGAAGTGCATATTTAGGAGCTTACAAAATCCAGATTTTAAGATGTAAAATAGAAAGCACTTTTTAGATATATTTTACTAGAATTGAAAAATATCAAAAAATAATTTTAAAAAAGTAAATAATGTGATTTTAATGATTTTTATGAGTTATGTAGTCTATTGATTATAAATGGATAATAATGTAATAGTAATCATAAGATCTTAGTCATCCATCTATTAATCTAACTTATAAAAGCATTAAATATTCCTTTTTTAAATTTTTTTTTCCTTTGTAAGAGTTTTATTAGTGTGAGTTCGAAGCATATGGCTACAATGCCATATACTAATATTAACAAAGTGGGATTTTCATAGTTATCAGATTGTTGTTAATCCGGACCACTTGCTTTTGTATATAAGCTAGGGTTTTGGCACTAATCAAATATGTATACTTTTGTATTCCTTTTTTATATTCCATGCAGAAAAATTGATTTAAAAGTAGATTAAAGATATGGTTGTTGTATTCTTTAATAAATCATGGTATTTAAATAGGATATTTATGTGAAGCAAAAACTCCACAACACCAACAAAAGCAAGCATAGAGAAGCACTGCTGCCTAAGGATTAAAACTTTTCTACTATGATGTTAATTATCATGGTTATATAGAGGTTTATCCTCCTTAACACCGACATTGTCAACAATGCTAATATTATTTTCCATCACAGCACTTGCTTAATTTCCCCCAAGGCCCTTCTTTCGTATTTTCTCTCCCTCTTCCATCAATGTTAGTATTTTCCTCCAATCCTTTACAGTGGAAAACTATCAAAGGGTAATCTAGGATCAAAGAAAAGTCACATTAACACTGGTGATAGAAATGTGTGGGAAAGCAAGAAAATCAAAGCTTTTGTGTTTGTAATTACTTCCTTGTTTTCCATATTTCAGTTATAGTTTTAAAGTTTTGCCTATAAACCTTAGAATTAGAAGCGAAGACGTTAGGAAATTGTTGTCTGTTATCTTGTGGATGATATGTGTTTAATATTCTATTTACTGTGCAATTTTTTATCCTAACAACTAGGTGAATTTGGTGAATTGGCTGGAAAAAAGCCATAAAGTTAAAAATCATATATTTCTATTATAGACTCTTGACAACTATCAGGAATTGAGTGCTCTTGGATTTCAAAAAAGACCCCTCTAAGGGACTGGTGAGTCCAACCAACTTTATTATAAGGGCATTTCTAAATACTAATAAACTAGTGAGTTTGGCCAGCTTGACTAGAAGAGCTTGACAAAATTGTTAGAATCTCCAGAACACTAGGTTAGAAGTGACTTTAGCAATATAAGGTCCTTGCAAGGATATTGATTTATTTATTCTCAACAACAATTTTTTTAGATGTGCCTAAAGTTCCAACCAAGAGCATTTCCTAATACTTTTACCGTAAGCTCATTTTTTTTGTATTAAAAGTCCAAGTAGAATTTCAAATTTACTAGATTCCAAGAATTAAATTTCACAATTATAAATAGAAAAATCAAAGAAAGATGTTAAAGTTTATACAGTATTTAAGAAGTTGGAAATTTTAAGGATATAGATTTAGGGTTCACCCTTCTCAGAAAGAGAGTTAATCATAATACACAATTTCTAAAAGTTTTCTAAATATAATCTAAGTAGACTACTATTGAATCATGATTGCAAGGTGGTGGATTGTTTTATATATCTAAGTAATTGCTTTTGATGCATTTTTTGCATAACTTAGTTCATTTGCATCTTTCATTTGGTTTAGGGACTATAAGTAGGCATTTGTGGATCTCAAAGATGTTTTGATGGTTCCTCTAGTTTTAGAATATCTTGACTACACTTGACTTTTCATCTTGCATATAAGTGCTTTTAATATTAATTTCGGAGGTATGTTGATTGTACATCTTGAGTGTATTTAGACTAAACAAGCATAAGGACCAAATTTTTATATGCTATTATTTAGCTTGGTAAAGAGTTCCCATCTTGTGTGTTTCACTAGCTAGTGATAAGAATCATCGTGTGTTGAGTCTAGTCTTTCAATAATCCTACATAATAATTTATTGTATCCACTAAACACCCTCATTATCATACACTATATATTAATTTTGTTCCAGTCCTTTGTGTTATTTTTGGTAAGTGTCTAGATTTGTCTAAGTGGCATAACTGAAAAATGTAGAAAGTGTTATATCCTATGGTGTTGTTCTCACATTCTAATCTACAATCTAGTATTATTCCATATTTAACGAGTTTTCAAGCTTGTTCTAGAGACTAACTCTTGGCCTAAAAGCATGCATTTTTCTAAGGTGGGGGATGAAGGAGGTTAGAGGGTTCTACATGTATAATAAAGATGGTGTTTGGAAGCATGGTTGACCATCTAAAACATTAGTTTGGCTTCTGCTAGAATGTGTCACTTTTTATTTTATGTTTGGCTTGGGCCTAAGTCTAAATTCTATGTTAATCTAGTTAGTGAGGTACCCACCTCTTTGTGTTAGGCCATCGGTATGCCGAAATTATGCCAAACACCATCTGACACTATTTGGTATGTAAAAGTTGGATATGGGGAGTTAGTGTTTATAAAGGATACTGAGTATGTATTAGATTCTTGTTTTGTTGCACAAAAGGCTTAGAGTTTGGTTCCAAATTCAAGTGCGTTATAATAAATTTCATACATGCTTGCATAGTTTTTAAACATTGTTAAAGGGTGATTATATTGCAATCACTTCATTATTAAAGTGGAAGAATTTAATTGGTTATATTATTGAGTGGATCTAAAGTTTTAAATATATAATTTTGAGGCTATTCATCACTTGGAGAGTTCTTTGGCTAATATTGATGCTCTTTTTTGAGCTCTTCTCCCTTTTTTGCTCTTTTTTCATGTTTTTAATAGCATATTATTCTAGCATTAGTGAATTTTTTAGACAAAAATCTCATACCATCTATAGATGTTTTACTTAATATTCAATATCCACAAGGTGCAAAATTAGATTTATCTTTTTTTAATGAGGTTCTTGACTTTATGATA